TTTTGTGGGTTCAAATATCACACGTGTTGTTGACAGGGCCTATTGCTCAATCGCACTTCTTCTTTGGAAATATTTGTTACCTATATATACTGTAATAATAATAAAAATAATAAAACTATAGATTCCTTGAGGAGTTGGCTAATTATCTAATATTAGCACCAATCCCACATTTAGTTGAAGGCAAAATTGAAACTCCTCTTAAACAGTAGTAGTTACATAATACTATAAGAATCTTTTTATTTTTTATATTTTCGTGCTAGCAGCAGCTGTCCCCGATGCTCTAAACGTCTCCGCCCGTAGGTGACCGAGCATATCACAAATAAGATTAGGCTCTTTGTTTATGAACTGCTCCCTGCAACTTCTACTTTCTGATTCATCATCATTTCTTGGAACTGAGCTCGCTTGGCAAGCCTAATATCAAGTATACTGGGTGGCATTGGCTTAAGTGAGCCATGCAATTCAACAAGACCAAAGAATTCTTGCTTTGTCAAACTCTTTTTCCGGACAAGTTCATCAACCACTGCATCCATGAGCTTTCGGTTCTGCTGTAAGATCTGATACAAACAAATAAATAATTAAATAATGGATGGTATGAATCAGATATTAGAAGCAGTTTCTGATAAGTGCTAGTTTTACAAGCAATGAAATACCTCTTTTGCGCGTTCATAACACATGTTCATAATCCGCAATGCCTCCAAATCAATTTCCTGATATTCAACAATTTGGTCATACCTTAGATAAAGTATAGAGAAGTTTAGAGAAGCAGTTTCCAAAATTCCCAATGGTATGTGCCGTTTCATGCACTTCAAACTCAGCTTCAAATGCAGCCTCCGGAGACTTTAACATTATTTTTCTTAAGCTTATGCTTCTCAAAATTTATTTTACCATAGAGATGCATTGGATGACATTTATAAAGTAAAAAGATGAATCCATTGAAGTATATTTAAAGATAAATCCACCAAAAATAACTTTTTCAAAGAAACAAGCAAAAAGCACAAGGAATGTGTATTTAGCTGTACACCAAAAATATCCTTTTTAAGAAACAAGTAGAGAGGGATAAGGAGGTATCCATACATTAATTCGATCTGCAACCCAGAAGTTAGACAACCCATGATGTTTCTCTGAGAGGCCACCAAGAACAAACATCCTGGCTGCTGACCTAGCATTGTCTGCCGTTTCAGCCCATATTGTACTCAACTGAAATAATTAAGGATTTTTTAAGTGGATCAAGTTAATCTACAGAATCTGGAATAAAAGATAATTTTGCACTTTCACAATCTAGCTCCTACTAGAAACATAGATCTACAGCAAGCTTATTGATATAACTTTTTAGAAACGAAAAGAAACAATATGCTAGAAAATTTGATATTGCCAAACCAAGCTACAAACTAGAATATTGGACAAGCAATGCGACCCGGTCAATACAGCATATGCATCCTTGAGTCACACTTAAAAATAGAATTCAATTTTCTAAAGATCAGAAATTACTATTTTCCTTGATCTCCTCTACCTTAAATCATAAAGCTTTATGGTTTAGTCACCGCAAAATGATAGTTGGTCTAAGGGTCAATATAATGGTCAACATATTAGAGCACTCCATTAGCAGTCATGAACAAGTGAACATATGCAACACCAATATGGACTATAATAAAGCATTTAATGACCTTATGAACAAACCTTGACTTGTTGTAGAGACAAATCAAAAAAAGCCCATAACTTTTACCAATACACCAAAGATCCAATCTAAACACTTCTGACTAAAACTAAAAGACAATTGTCCAATCTCATAATTATTAGCTTACTCCAAAAACCAGAAACTTTGAAAAGCTCCCCTTTTTTTCTCCCCAAAATGACCTTCATATAGAGTTGATCAGAAAATCCAAAAACTGCAGGTGGGTATTAATCACATTGTAATATACGAAGGTTAAACAATGAGCATTGCCATTTTAAGCAGTAGGTTACTCATCGTTAGATTTGTGATTTTTGAAGCTTCTGCACACTTTTTAAGAATGCACCATTGAAACTCAATAATGAGGGACTTGTTTTCCATATCATAATGACTATCTTTTGCACAATATCATCTTCCAGGCATGCAAAAAGACATTAATGTACATGTATGAGAAACAGACTTCTCACCTGACCCTCACCATACCATAGTTCATCTGCTGCACGGGGTGCTAATTGAACAGTTATGTGATCGAGAAGGGACTGGCGACTGCATGACATTATGAAATATAAGTGAACTGTCGAAAATTAAACAAACGAGATAATTTTCCAGTGTAATATTCACAGGAAACAAGAGTGGTAAGAAAACCCTGCAATAGGCAACTGAAAGGATAGTCCCCTAATTAGTTGATCATAAGAATATGTTATACAGAGGATGGTCCAAAATTAGTTGATAAAAATATTATCTTTCACCATGTTTGACATTCTTGGCAGTTGATAGTCCTTACATTGATGCTTGTAAGCATGAAGAAATGTTGCATACCTTAGCATTCCTTCCGCAAATTTGATATGATCCATTTTCATACGAACATAACCCAATTCCCTACCTGCTCTAGGAGCAATTGTAACCTGCTCAAAAGCAATAATGCATTAATATACTTCCAGGCATTGCATACAAGTACAAATGCTTTCATTTCTTAAGGCAGCAAGCTTATCAGTCAAACTTGATAGCAGTACAACTGTGAAACCCAAAAGGGTCAGTTTTACATCAATATCCTCTATGAATCAAAATGCCAAGAAAAGGCACCAAAATTGACAGATTTTCAATAGATTCTTCTAGGATGCCTTTTTTGTAGCAGGCTTGTACTGCAGAGTTATGTAATGATTTCACATGCATAAAAAAATCCATTAAAGACAACCTATATTTATAAAATTGAGATGCTTTACAAGCTTTAGCTACCTTGCCAACTCAACAGCAGAGAATTTTATGCCTAGACATGATGTTTTAGTACATGACTTTAAGAGTCATTATCCAGAATGGTATGACATAATTTTGAGACCATCTATCAGATTTTCAAAAAGTTTCTCACTAGTTGTCAAATGATCTGAGGTTTACAGTCATGCAATGATACTGCATATTGAAGATTTTAGTCTTCTGATCAAGGTATAATAATGACTGAAAATCCAGAGAATCTAAAATAATCAAATATATGCGTTAATCAGTCATTAACATGCACATGTGGAAGGAGATACTCTTAAGAATTTTCTCAATCTGCCACTATATACAGTAATGCACCATTGCATAAGAAACCAGATCTTGATATACACTTTATGTCAATATCAAAACAATGCATTGAAAGAGGTGCAAGCAACACAGATTATAGCAGTGCGTATGAGTCAAAATATTTGCAAGAAATGAAAAAAGGCAAGTAAATATCATACAAATTCAATGTTTCTGAGATCAGGAAAGTTCACAGCTACAACAGCCATTGCCGCTTCATTAATAGCTACTTGTTTCCATGTCTCGGGCCCTCTCTCCTTTCTATCTAGCATACCCCTTTCTTCTATTTGTGCCGCTTGGAGCAAATCATCGGTTGTAATCTGCAGAAGTGCAACAGCAGAAGGTCAGAGCATTGCTAAGAAGAATTAGGTTAAGGGCATTTATACCTACTGAATAGCACTATCAAACCCAATATTACATTTTCAGATGATACATGAAATACTATCTCCAATTTCATTAATCTCATAAACTTTGAAATCCTCTTAGTTTTATTAAACTTAATTTGTCCAAGTTCCAATTCTCTGTTTCTAATAACTATTTCTTGTCAGCAATAGGCCCTTCATGATTTCCAGTAAACTGAAACTGTGTCAATAAATGAATAAGATAGTTAACTACTCATGTAGCTACTACCTCAGTCCTTCCATCACGGATCATATTAATAGCAGCAACCTCAACTATGTTAGCCAGCTCGGCACCAACCATTCCATCGGTCATACTGGCAACAGCCATATAGTCCACATCCTCAGCCATTGGCTTCTTTCGTGCATGAACCTACAACATAGAAATGAATTGTATAGAAAAATAAAAAGCTAGCAACTAACCATAAGAATTTAATTGAATATTGCATACTGAGAACCATTGTAATGCCATAAAAGCAAAGTTATACATTTGCAAGTAGTAAAATACCTGCAGAATTTCCATGCGACCTATAAGTCCAGGTTTAGGGATAAAGATTTTTCGATCAAACCGTCCAGGTCTCACAAGTGCAGGATCTAGAATGTCTGGTCTATTTGTGGAAGCAATAGTGATGACATTCCCTCTTCCTTCAAAACCATCCAAGCATACAAGAAGCTGTAGCACGACAATATTGAAAATATATTTTTAACACATTAAAATAGGAACAGGAACCAGTTCATATTAAAAAAAATAATTTAAAACATATATATGCAAAATGGGCCCAACTCACAACAAACCTGATTCAGGGTAGCATCACGTTCTTGTCCACCGGAACCTTTGATCAAACCACGCTCCCTTCCAACAGCATCTAACTCATCAATAAATACAACTGAAGGGGCCTAGAAAAAGAAGCATAAAGTGATGACATGTTGTACTAGAGGTCAAGAAAGTAGTAAGGAAGCAGAAAACAGAAAAGTGAATCAAAGCTAATACGTTAATTCATTATCATGCAATAATGTTTAAAGCACTAACAAGATGAAACACATAAATTACCCAGATAAAAGGAGCTCAATTTAGACATGGAGAAGGAAAAGAGGACACAAAACAACTAAAGACAACACTTACATTTTCCCTGGCTTCCTGATAAAGTGCTCGGACACGGGATGCACCAACTCCAACATATATTTCCACAAATTGAGAGGCAGAGATGGAGAAGAAGTTTACACCTGCTTCACCAGCCACGGCTTTTGCTAGTAAAGTTTTCCCCACCCCAGGGGGGCCACAAAGAAGTATCCCACCTGATTAAAAATCCAATACAAACTGAAACAAGTCAAGTGCAAAGTGCTAACAAAGTAAATGACTACTAGAATAAAGCAAACTAAGCAAGGTATACCAACAAAACGATAAAAGATGGCATGGCTTCTAAGCATAAAGGAATAAATTGTAATTGCTATTGCTATTATGTTTTCCTAGGCACATACAGCCAAAAAGAGTGCCCAAAACTGGATAAGAAGGAAAAAGTAAAGAAAAAAAATTGAAAGGCATTAGGAACGTTTTATGAATCCATATTCTCCTAAAATGAGTGACCAGCTTACAAGGATGTGGTACCAGTAACAAAATAACTTCATAAGCCTGGAGCAGTTCCTGAATTTCCTCTTGTTAGCATGCATATGTAATTATATCCAAATAACAAAACAGTAATTTTTTTATGTAATATCGGATTAGAGACAGAAAGCAGGAAAATGCAACTTGACTTTTGCATGATTGACTAACTGCAATATAAAATGAGAAGACCAGCCAAATTTTCTGAATCAACAATCTATCTGTGAAATGCAGGGATCAGGGATGAAAACGAGCACTTAAATGGGAAATAAAACAAGAAACGATAGAAGTAGGAGAAAGTTTCACTCTGTGACCAAAAAAGATTCATCAGATTTCCAAGAATAGCACAATAAAAAGAACTTATAGAACCATATACACTTATCATTCTGATAAGAAAAGATATGCTAGAACGCGATGGTCCTTTGAACTTTTCATTCTTATGCTCATTTAAAGTTTCCTGAACATATAGTTAGAGGATTTGCTGCAGTTTTAGTCAGCCACTACTAAGTATGGCACCTGCTTAAGCATGTTTCATCTTGAACATGCCCCTTCAAGCATCAAGAGGACTTCGAAACTGGAATAAGAAAATACATATTACCACAAGTTTTTTGTCAAATTCATTTGATTTTAGAATTTGGTAGCGATCCCAATGGAAGAAGAAAAACAAAGTAAAACGGAAAATATGATTCATCCAATAATAAGATCTTTTATCCAGGCTTCCAACTTGTCATGGAAAAGACTAGGCATAAACAAGACATATAGCAACATGCTTCCCTGTATGCATTGAGTACAACTTCATTGCACAATTTCAAACCAAAAGAAGAATATATATATAAAAAAAATTGTTCAGGTTTAGAAATTTTGACCTGGTATTCTTACTCCTCTTCTCCGGTACATCTCCCCATGTGTGAAAAACTTCACAATCTCCTCAAGCTCAAGCCTGATTTTGCCAAGTCCAGCAACATCTGAGAACTTCACATCCACACCTCTCTCCAAATACTGTGGCAATCTCTTATTATGTGCCCTTCGAACACGTGCACCTGACTTCATGAACTGCATAGCCATCTTCAAATATGGATTCTGCTCACCTCCTACTTGCTCAGCCTCATCGTCCTCACCCTCAATTCCTTCCATTTCCCTCTCCAACTCCCTCATCTTTCTTCTCTCCTCTGCCTCTGCCTTCTCAATCTTCAACCTATCCTCATAATCCTTCTTCTGCCTTCTGTAACTGAGCACCACTGTCCTATAAAATATAACAAAAAACACCAATCCAAGTGCAGTTGCCACATTTGAATCCTGTGCTAAACTTGCCCACACATTTGCCATACTCTGATAATTCCTCCTAGCATCACGCAATGACTCCTCATACTTCCTCTTCCTAATCTCTTGCTTCTTTCTCCTCTCCTCCTCCTTCTTCTGCACCTTCATTACCTTTTCAATCATCTGTCTCTCTTCCCTCATCCTTGCCAACTCCTCCTTTCTTTGCCTCTTAAACTCCTCTCTCGCTCTCCTGATCTCCGCAGCCCTTTTAGACTCCTTCTTTGGCTTAAACCATGACAACATCGAGACAGGCACCCTCCCTAAAAATCCCAAATATGGGGCAGGCACCTCAGGCCTCTTAATTGGAGGTGTATACGCATTAACACACAAAGATTCAATCTTTAACTCGTCCCATGAATCCCAAAACTTCCTATCACTATCTATTGAAGGCAAAACAGTTCTTAACACTCTAGAATCCTCTAAAACTACTAAAACTGGCTCCGCTCTTTGCTTCAAACTCACACTAGGCGGCTTAATTAAATGTTTAAGCTTTCCCTCAAGCTTTAAACTCAAAATTTCAGTATACGGAATCCTGCTTTTTACAATAGGAAGATCTTTTGACCATTGTTTTAGCTGCTCTGGGGTTAGTGCTTCTTGGGTTTTTTTCTGAGTTTTCTTTCTATCAGATACTTTAACTGCGGCAAGAGAGCTTTTTTGTGGAAATGAAGTGGAGATTATAGTAAGAGTAATAGGTAAAGCAAGAAAACTGAATTGGGTTTTCTTGGTTTTATCATCATCATCGGAATTATTGCTCTTAGAGGTATAAATTTGACAAGAAATTGAAGGGTAAGTGGTGGAGAAAAATGGGTTTTGGGATTTTAGATTTAAAAATGGGAGTTCTGGGTACAACGAAGAACCAAAAGAGAAATGGCAAGCCATGAAAAAGAAGAGGTGAAGAAAATTTTAAATGACAAGAAAAAAAAAAGACTTTCAGTTTCTAAAAGATTGAAAGAGAGAGACTTACATTGTGAAATGAAACTGAGAGAGTGAATTTAAGGTTATTGAGCTTTCGATTTAGTCGACAATGAAGCCTAAGACAAAGCATCTTCTTCTTCCTTCTGTTCAAACCTCTGCAGCTTAAAATGTGATGGTCCAATTTTGAGGGGAAAGGAAGCAACGTAATCTAACGTTTAAGCTAAACGACGCCGGTTCATGGTTTCAAGAAACGCTGCGTTTCAACGCTTTTGGTTACAGGGTGAAGGAAAATTTTTGTGCTACCTAGCACCTATCCTATCCATACGATAAATTAAATATTCCCTGTTGCACTTTTGTATAATTATGTACGTTTTTAATGGCAGTATGGCACAGCAGTGTTGCATCAGGTACTAAGCTCTTTTGCAGTAGAAGTTCATAAAGATGAATTTTTTAATTTTTTATTTTGAAAAAAAATTATATTTTAATCCACTCTCTAGATAACGAAATATTATATTTATTATTAAATTAAATATTCAAATATTATATGAGATAATTTTTTACTTGTCTATGTACAGCGAACCCTTTGAGGAGAAACGAAAAAATGCAATAAAACAAGTGAAACAGGTTCAAACTATGATCATACCTTAAATTAGCATGCTACCCTTTAAGGAATAGAGAGAACTTTGCCAATCTTCCTTACTCGAATGTTTTTTTAGGAGGAGAAGCTCCTGAATGGATATCTTATTTGTGCTAGATTTCCTTTTATCGAGCCCTAGCAGTCTAAGGAAAAAGTAAATAGAATCTTGCAAATATCAAATGAAAAAGAGATAAATACACATATACAAAAATAATAATTAATTATAATAATAATAATGTATATTATTATTGTGACTATTATTTCACAGAAATTATTAAAAATTCCATTAATTATTACTTCTATTTTATTAATTATTTTTTACTATTTACTTTTGTTTTCTCTGGAAATTATTAGCAGAAAATAAAAATAAATGATATAGGAAGCAAAAGGACAGTAATTGTCATTGTTGGCCTATATATTCATGCTTAAATAGGATTTGCTCGAACAAATTGTCTCATGCAATAAGAGGGAAACCGGATCGTAATTGTCGCAATAAAGGAGATGATTTTTGTCTTTGCGAGGTTGGGCATCATTCCTTGTATTTGCAAAAGGCCATTAACTGCCCTTTGGAAAACGAGGGCGCGTCCATTTTGAGTCAATGGCCTTGTACTCGTAGGCTAGGTACGACTCCTTTTTTAAGAACGAGGCACCCAAGTACTGAGTCAGAGGAACTTGATCACTGAGAGCAAAGCTCACGCTCACCAAACTACGATAGAAAAGCATCCCCCACAAGAATTATCTTTAGTTTCGGTGCGGTTATCTGTAACAATCCTGGATTAACATGAGACATACTAGTTAATAACAAGCTCCTGTTTGGTGCTATAATGGCTCCAAAGTAGAAACCTACGACTCCATTACTCCAATCTAGCTCATAATTTATATGCATTTTGATGAACAAAATTTCATAAATATACTATATTTTCCATCCAATGAGATGCCCAAATTAAATAGAGGTAGAACATGGGTCGGGTAAACCCGAGAAGCTTGTCCTCAAAGGATGGTTAGTCAACTTAGACGCCTTAGCATGGCAAAGTAGCAAGGCCGTCTTTCCTTTTTACAAACACCGCTGGCTGTCTTGCAATACCAAGATTCCATCAACAAAACTAGCTAAGTAAATAAAAGTACGTATTTCTAAGAAGCCACCATTATAGGATAAGAAGATACTACATATGTAACTAAGAGAAAGGAGTGGTGGACTGGGGACTGGGGAGATCATGAAAAATTCAGTGCTTGGAGAGCCAAATTACATCCTGAACAGCAGAGGCAGCGTACAAGACACAGCTGAAGAAAGTGATGGCTATTGAGACCGCAACATGATCGCAGAAGCTACCCAAAGACTTACAAAAATTAGGTAGAGCCGTATGTCGGATCCCTGTTCGATTCAGGTTGGTTACCCCTGATGCTGCTGATCCCGCACTCATCATTGCATACGCCAAAATCTGCAAAACTTGCGAGTCAACAGAGCACCAGCCAAGTGGAAGATAGATGCGTGCCAAATTCTCATGGTGGGAATCACATTACCTGATCCCCAGCAAAAGTAAGCCAGGCTTGATTCCTTGAAGGAATCACTGGAGACTTTCTCAGCAGCCTTGACCCGCCAATGAGTGATTGCAGCAAGGAGTAACCCGCAGCAGCTGCTGTAACTCCAACAAGATATCTGTTCCATCACCCAATGAACACAGAATTTATTAACAAATATTAGTCAATAGTCATGCAAGTCAAACTTCAGCACTTTCCATGCCCTGGAAATGTAGTCTGATAACTGACTTGTCATGAAGAAACTGGAGGACAAAATAGGAGAGCTTACTCCAAAATGTCAAGACCCAGAAAAGTTTACAAAGAAACAAAGGATATAAACAAATAAAGTAGATATTAAAGTGGAAAATTAATATTCACGGGTCTCATTCTGTTCCCTCAAAACCCATGAAACCAGAGGAGAGAGACACAGGTTCTCCAAACTTTGTTGCTACTCAATAGGCAATAGCTAACAAACAAAACTCCCCACTTTACCCCATAAAAATACCGCAATTTAAGGGTTTTTAGTCAATAAAAATGCCAATTTAGTATCATGAACACTCTGTTGTGCTCTGTTTGGTTGGAAAGTCAGGACATCTAAGTAGCAAAAGAAATGTTTTAACATGTTTTTATGACACACAAAACAATTATTCTTTCTTAATTGAGTTTGGTTCCTACACTGCATGTTTTGATATTCTAAAACTATGCACAAATAGACAAGCACCAAAATTATTTATACTAATTACCCCCAGCATTGCAACCATTATTAAGTCTTAAACAAATCCTATGTATAACACAAGAAAACAAGAACATCCCTGTCAATAACAAACGAGTAATTAATAAGTAGTATAACCAATTTTTATCCCCTTGGTCGGTGAGACAATATGGGGTAGAGAACAAATGAAATGAAGAAGACGACAGAATTGACCCAAAGATCAAACCGTCACACACTAAACAGGACCCCATTAGGTTAGCTCCACTTTCTTTTCATTTTCCTTCACTTTCTCAGCAGCCAAACAAAAAAAGTACTCTACACCATACCAAAAATTAAAAACCATATACCAGAGCTAAGAGAAGCATGGACCATGGAGGAACAGTAAGGTCATGAAAGTAATTTCGATCTAGGAAGAAGAAGTAGCAAGGTTTTGAATACTTACTCGAAGGAGTAAGAGAAAGACCACTTTGAGTGGAGCTGCAGCTGGAACCCGTAGAAGGAAGCAGTGCTAACTTGACGGGCTGTGACCATGAACAACATGGCCGTCAAGGAAGCAGCCATGCACAACAGCCTGAGTGTCACCAGTACCACATCCCCTCTAGTCCAGACACCAGTCTTGGACCCTAACCCTGCATTGAACAACCCCACGCGGGGTTCACTTTGTCCATTCTCCGCCAACACCTTTGCCTCCATCAGCTGCACCGGCAGTGTAGATGGCGGTGGAGGCGGCGGTGTCTTGTGGCCATTCATCCTCATATCTGGATCCGTGACTCTTTCTGGGATTTGGGTTATATGCTTTGTTATTGTTGCGGTGTCTCTCGAGAGTCTCAACTCTCAGTAGATGGAACAAAGTGGAGATGAGGAGGGGCCTTTAGAAGGGCAAGCGGGGCGTATATTTTAGCGTCAACAACAGTAATCGAGGCTTTGTTTGGTCAGAGTCACACTGCTCTCCTCTCTTCCGTTATGGAGGGTTTAAACATATATAACCATGTAGAATTCTTCTCTCAATGGTTACAAAGTACGTATTGTTAAGACTATCATCTACTTCTTAAATATATATAATGCATAATCATTTATAAGCCAGAACTCAGGGTTCCAAATAGGATTATAGCCTCGTTCCAAAGAGACACGTGGCTATAAATAGGAGTTCACGAACAATGCCCCGTGACTACACAGTGGCAGAATCAATGAGATTGGTAGGCAGGACTCCTATTTGGTTCCTACTATTCCTTTGCGAGGAAACTTATCAATATGGCTTGTCATTGTAGGGATCGAAGCTTTAAACTTAAAAAAAATGGATGTAATTAATGTGTCTAAGGAAAGAGGTATTAAATAATACGTTAAGCTTTAATTTCCATTCACTGACTAACAAAGCCAGCTCATAAAACTTGTTTCACAGATAAATGGATATTTGAAGTAGCCCTAGCTATCGTCATTCTTCGTAAAATTTGTGCCACAGTTGCTGGAAAGGTTCGTGCACACGTCAGTCGAGTTTCGGGCTTTCAGGCTTCGTGAAAATAAATTCTAATACACTAGTAATTAATTTTCCTGACTCCTATATGAGCTAATATTTTGGATATGGCCGTATGGGAAATGATGAATCCTCCAATGATACTGCTGGACTGAGACAGTCATTTAATGATAATTAATTATAAAAATTTATTTAATTAAAAAATATATAAAAATTTAACTAAATATAATAAAAAAAAAATATTTAAATTTTTCTAAATAAATTAAAAAAATTTTAAAACATGTTATCTGAAATGTAACAATATCAAATTCCCGAATAATATAACAATTTGAACTTGATTGAGTGCATAACGTGATTAAGTTTAAGATTCAAAATTAGGACAAATTTTACGATAAATATGACATTAACGAGCCTAAAGCGTGCAAGTGAGTGGAGCAAATTCCGATAGAAAGTGGCATACGTAACGTTTGATGATGCACAGATAATCACATGTCATTATATAAGATAAAGAGGCATAGAGCATTAAATCACATGATAATAAAATTTCTTCATTTCAGTGTTGTTGCTCATTCTCCTTCCTTTGAGGATGGACTGGCACTCAGTTTTGGTGAGGAGATTTTTAGGATTCCAAAGCTAACAAATCAAACAAACATGGGATGTAGGATTCTCCTACCACTGCACTGTATCATAGTAGTAGCATTACATCTTGTATATATGTTACAAAGTATGAGGCAATTGGGGTAATAGTTGGAGCATCCACATCTTGTATATATATTACAAAATATAAGGCTATCAAATAAAGTATGCTGATGAATATGTTTACATGGATAACCTATTTTCATGTAAGATAATGTTAAATTTATATTCAATACACTATTCAATAATATCAATATTTTTTAAAATCTTTCAAAAAAAAATTCTATAATTTGATTAATTTAAAAAATTCATCTAATTATACTATTCGTTATTCTATATGATGGTATATATCTCTTCTATATGTTTTGTCCCAAAAAGGACCATTGAAAGATAAAATCCTACCTCCTAAGGCTCACTAACCAAAATTATTAATCATGAACTTAGATTAAACTAAATTAATCCAGAGTAAATACTAAAGTTAGATTTTGCATTAAATTAAAATTTGTTTTGAGGTTCAAGAATGAATATTAAAATATAATTTTTGAACTTATAGCATGTTTGATGGAATGGAATAACCATTTCCTCTCTATTCCTCATCCTCCTTTAACACTTTATTTGGTTGGACATTTAGAGAGATGATGGCATAGCTAATAACAAAGCCCCTTGGTATTAACTATTCCAAAAAGTAAGGAATAGAGTAAAAAACATTAATGAACAAAAATATCTTTCACTAATTTAAAGAACTACTACATTATATAAAATACATTTTGTTCATTTTTTGCAATTTCTTTCTTTCTTTACCCAACTACCTCTCTCCTTTTCTTCCTAAAGTAAAATAAATTGAAAATATAAAAATAAAAAAATTAAAATGAATTTAAAATAAAAAGGTTTAAGTTTTAATTATACATTATAAAAAGTTAATATTTTAAATTTAAATATTAAATTAAAATTTTAATTATAAATTTTTTATATTTTAATATTTTAAAAATAAATAATGAAATTAATATTTTAATTATAAATATTTTAATTTAAAAGTTAAATATTATAATAAATAATATTTTTATCCTTTATCATTTATTCTTTAACTATTTTTAAAATTATTCCTCTTAACCAAACATTAAAATAATTTATAATAACAATTTTTATCCTATTTCTTTCTCATGAATCAAACTCAATAATAATTATTTATCTTTTATTCTATTTTTACAAAATAATCATTCCATTCTCACTTTAATCCTTCCGCCAAGCCAAAGACACCCTTATAGCATACTTGGTTGGGGGAATGGCTTATTCCCAAGGAATTTTGATTCCTTTAATTGGTTGAGAAATAGTCCAAGGAATAGCCATTCCATAGGAATGGCTATTCTTCAAAATCTTCCAAAATTAAAGAATAGTTAATACCATCCTCTCTCATGGTATTAGCTATTCCATAGTTTGAGGAATAAACTCAAAAAATCATAAAAACCAAAATACCTTTTACAAGTTTGAAAAATTACAACTCTATTTATATAAAATATTTTTTTCTCTCCTCTTCCTCTCCTTTAATTCCAACTTTTAATAAATATTAATATTTTAGCATATTAATATTAAATTATAAATAAAATATTAATAGTTTAAAATAATAAAAATTAAATTATAAATAAAATATTAATATTTAAATTATAAATTATTAATAAAATAACTTATAAATTATTCCTATTTAAAAAATAAATTAAAAATAAATAAACATAATATCATTTAAATTATATATAAAATATTAATAATTAAATCATCAATTATTAATATTTTAAATAAATTACCAATTGTTAATATTTAAAAATAAAATAAAAAGAAATAAAATAAAAATTAATCATAATAATATTTAAATTAAATAAATATTAATATTTTAAAAGATTAATGATTAAATTATTAATATTTTAAATAATTAATTAATTATTAATATTTAAAAATAAAATAAAATAAAAATAATTTATCATAACAATATTTAAATTAAATAAAATATTAATATTTTAATATATTAATGACTAAATTATAAATAAAATATTAATATTTTAATAATTAATTATTAATATTTTAATTAAATTCTAAATTATTAATATTTAAAAAATCTAATAAAAATAAATAATCATAAATAATAAAAAATATTTTTATCTTTTTATTTTTTATTCTAAAATTATTATTACCAATCAAATACTGTAATAACTCATAATAATTATTTCTGTCTTGTTTCATTTGTCGTACCAAACAAAATAATAATTTTTTATTTTATTCCCACTTCATTCTATTCTCATATAATAACTATTCTATTCCTTCCTGCCTATTCTATCCAATTCAATTGAAAAAGGATTTTGTTTAACATATTTACAACCAATAATAGTAATTAATTAATTTTAATTAAAGTGAACTTCTCATGTAGTCAGTAGTCATCTAGATCTTTTGAGTAGAGACGATTGTATGAAAGTAAACCGAGTTAGAGCTCATCACACTATGAATGGTGGCTGGCATACTTGTTAATCCCACAGAAAAGAATTTATGACATTTTTAGTTCAAACTCTGCAGTCTTATACAATTGCAATTACAAATAAAAATGCAACACTTCCCACTGCAAGGGAAATTGCTGATTTAAGCCGATGATATACTGAAACCCTCAGTAGACTGGAACACTCCATCCTCTGTATGAATATCTGGAACGAACACTGTCACACGTATAATGAAATAGCACAAGGGCAGGGGGGTGACTGAAACAGCTGTACCTAATATCCAAACAAGAACTCCATGACTTTCAACCCTAGTGATTTTGTAGGGTTTGCAATAGCACCTCCTGACTGTCGTGCATTGGTATTGCCATTTTGAAGATAGTAAGGGCGAGATGGTCGGAAATTGTTCAGCTCTGATGATCTACTTGATGCCGGGGGTAAAGTCATGAATCCCTGATTATTCAATCTTTCATCTAAAGCCTGGCGTTGCATTGGATCCACTGGCTTCACACCAACAATCAGTACTCCATTAATTTGCATTCCATTCTTGCCGAGAGCCCTCTGAGCATCAGATCGATTCTGCACCGAATATAAAAGCAACCATTGCCATGTATTGGTTTTAACATCAGCATTTACGATTTCTTCGAGACAATAAAAAAACCAATACATTTACTTTTGATTCAGCTAATCATCAAAAACTTTCATATACAATGGTACAACACTGCACATATTTCAGAAACTACAAAAGAGGAATCAGCCATTGGGCCAAAAGGGATAACACAAGCCAAGATGTCCAAATCCACACTTTAGAAGCCACTTAACTCAAACAATATATATCAGAAGAAGAGATCACAGCCTACCCATCAAGCAAAAGTTCTACCAGGTTTGGGATTCAGCAAAATCCATTAAGATTTTTAGCCTGTACGGATCCACCTTGAAAAAGGAAGGTGATATAGGTTTTATAATTAAACCAATGCATTACAACTCAGAAAGGTTACCAGATCATGGTTATCAAAAACATCAATTTTTTTAACTAATTTTTCAGTCAACTACTTTTATTTAATCTCCAACTGGATTACCTTTTCTTATCTTCATTAGGATTACAAACTATTTAGCAAGCAAGGATAGCAAGCAATAAATAAACAAAAAGATATGAACACAAATCTACAAATATGAACCAAAGCACATTAATACTCATCACAAAAGAACATGAACAGATAGGATAGGATTGGAGAGAAGATTGACCTGATATAGAATGTGCATCCAGTTAGCATCCCTTGGACCAGGAACATGTTTCAATATCACACCACACTTTTCAAACTCTCGCAAAACTAAATTTGTATCAGCAGGTGAAAATCTGGAAAGAAAGCCAATATTAAAGTCACAGATCTTGCATACATATAAGAGCAAGGTCACACCATGAGTATAACCCAAAAGTTCAGTTACATTACATTTTGTTTTACTAAACAGACAAACATAGAGAGAAGGATGTAATCATTGAGGAGGGAACAAGTTAAAATCACTGGTGAGTTATCAGAAGGTTACACATTGAAAATCACTGATGAGTTATCAGAAGATTACAGATTGCAGATAGTGGATCAGACAACAGTAACCACCAGGTGAAAGAAACCAAGAGAGATGTGTTTGTTTTTGCCCACAAACAAATTAGAAAAAACCATACTACCAATTTCTTAAAATATTTAAGCAAATAAGGTCCAAATATTCTGTTTTAACCTGACATAAACTGGTAAAAATATGAAATTTGGAAAGGATAAAAAAGGACCTTAAACACAGAGAAGTGACTAGTGAAATAATAAAAGCAAAAGTTAATCCACTAAAATAAGGCACCAATATCACAGATAAAAGACAACTGATTGCTAAAAGATAAGACAGACATATCAATAAGTAGAACATGAAAGTATGTAGCATACCCATAAACAGTAACCCATTCTTCCTCATCCAAATTTCCTGCAGGTATGGAATTCCTTTGTATTTCTGGCCTAGCAACTTCCCTTGGAGGTGGAAGTGTGATCAAAGCACCAGGCTGAACCACACCCTCAACAGGAGAACCCTTTCCCTTGTCATCCTGCTCACTGCCACTTGCCTTTGTGGATGACCACCAACTCAAACTCGTTGGGCTCTGCTGATTCTGCTGGCCACTTAGTACAGAAAAAGAAGTGCTAGCCTCTGACTTGCTCTTCGCTGGAGTTGAGAAGTCACGTCCAGATGTTCGGACTGGAGTTCTTGGGTCTGACTTGATTTCAGGAGACATAGGATAATCCAGGATCCCAGATTTAGGAGAAAAATCTGAACGATCCTCCAGGGTGAACATAGGAGGAGGCGGAAGATCTGAACCTCCAAAATTCTCATGCCATAAAGCTGATACAGCCGCTGCTTGACCTGGACTAGAAAATTTCCCTCTCCGGGCAGAGACTGGTGATGCCAAGTCTTGGAAAAACAATGATTGTCTCCCTGATTTGGGAGTTCTATGAACCGTGGTGCTCATTTCTTTCCAAAGATGAGCACTGAATAAAGAGTCCTGTATACATATCAACTCATTAGCTTTACTAAAACTTGATGTACCAACTTAACTAACCCATAAAACATTAAATTTCAGTAAACTCAACTACTAGCAAATTTAAGATATATCAACAGGATATTAAACAACAACTAATAACTTTACACTTTCTACCACCTTTTGTTGCCAAGAAAATGAAAAGAAACAAATATATAAGTCATAATAAATAAAATATAAGAAATATACTAGTTAACTAAAGCTTCATTCTTTTTCGCAAAAACAAAAGAGCAAGAAAGAAAACTAAGATTAAAAACGTTGTTCATTTTCCTTTTGGTTGATTTCTGTTAAAAGTTTAAAAGAGAATACCAGAACAATCAATAGCTTAACGACTTTTCTTTTCTTTAATTCCTCTTTCTCGGAAACCAAACCGTTTTGCATTTCGGTTCCCTTCGCAAAGCATTCCATTGGCATTATAAATAAATAAACAAAATTCAACATTAAACTCAGAGAGAGAGAGAGAGAGAGTACCTTTGAGTTGAGCTCAGTTGGGATTTTCCCTCCAAATTGAAAAGCTGAAGAACGAAGCTCTTCTCAAGAACGGTAAAGGAAAATGTCCGCTTAAATTTGGAACCCTAAACCCTGGATCCAAATTTCAAATGTTGTGTTTTGATTTTGAGTCCGCTTAAGTTGACGTAAAATGTCCTTATTTTCTAAGGGCATTTAAGGTTGTTTTCGTCATTTAAGATACTTGTTTGTTTTTTTCCTTTTTTTTTTAATTTTCAAGATAATGAATTTTATTTTCTTTTTAATCATTCCAAAAATAAGTTTATGGAAAAAAGAATGTCTAAATTATCTTTCCATTTATTTGAGACTGATTACCATAAATTCTTTTCCAAAACCAAATTAATTTCTTAACTTTTTTTTTTTTACTTTCAGCTATTCAATCTCTCATATGAATTACATAACAAATTTTTATTAAAACAAAAAATCTACCATTACCAAAATAGAAAATTCATGTATAATAATTATCTTTTAACTTTTATCAATAAAGATTAATTCAATCGATTAATTTATTTATTATTCGAATATTGATAATTTTTTGAGGACGAATGAAAAAATTACTGTTTCTTTTTAATCCGATTAAAAATCATATATAATTATAATAGTTATTGATTAATTTTTAATTCAATAGATTAACTTATTTATTTTGATAATAAAAAAATTCTAAATTTAAATATTGATAGTTTTGATTGACTAATGAGAAAATTACACATTTTTATTAGTACGACGAAAACAGTTTATCAGGTCCAAAATAACCTCATTAGCATGCAGTCCAGTAATAGCCCAAGACCATGATATAGACATGATAAGCCCATTATTAACAACATAGTCATTACTGATAGTAATGCACAAAAGAAAACCAATACAAATAAGAAGCATCCTAGGACCAAGGATCCATCACTCAGAAAGGGGCAGTAACAGGCTCCTTGAGATTGTTTAGAATATTGTTCGTGTCTGGGGATTCCATGTTGTCGCATGAACATTGGCAAGGTCTTTCTGTAACTTGAGCCCTTTGGTTGCATTCAACTTCCTTCTCTTTATCTGCCAGTTCCACCTCCTTTATTTCAGTAGCTGATATCAATCCCTGCAACAACCAATTCAACACCATCTTTCACAAATCAACTAAGTCTACAACTTGGTTTAGGTACACATAATAGGGCCTTAATTAGTTTGTCTATTTTCTCAAGCAAACCTCAATGAATATGGCGGAAGCTTCTCTTGGTTCCAGCTTCTGAGCTACATCAGCAGCCATTTCCTACATAGATGATAAGGAAAACAGTGGTCAGGCTACATTAACTAGATAATTATCTCTCTACTGGTCTTCTTCTTGCTTTCAACTAGAACTATATATTAAGTATTATTGATTAGACTGCTTGTATAAAGGAATGTCTTTCCATCTTATTACAAATGAGATCATCATATATGTGAGGGGGGTAGACCACAAGCCACCGACTATCAAACTAAAGGTGCCCCTCTTAACACAATTGGAAATTTCTTTTGTTTTTTTAACTTTGTTTCACATTTGGCATACTCTTCAGAACATTAGCCTCATCAAGCCTAGCTAGCTAGTGCAGAAGTCTTTTGTTTTCCTATCAGCTAATTAGGAATTAGTACACATTCATCCTTTGTTGGTTCAGTATTTCCAGTGAATCATGTAATTCTGTTGATGGATTAATCATATGCAAGAATATTTAATTTGTATCGAAATCTCTCAATCTTCCTCTTAGATTCTGTTTTGATCAAAGTATGAACAGTGATGCTGTATTAAAGTAGTGATCACCAATATCATATCTAAGCAGAAGTAGAAAAAAAAGAAGCAAGAGTAAGAAGATACAAAATAAAATGGAAAGAAATGAAAGCAGTTAATCAAGATTACCATGGCATGGCTGAGTTGCCCTTGGTTCAATGTTCTAGGCTCCGTCTCAATGGAGCAACACACATTAGCCATAGAAAACACAGCAGCAGCCCAATTGCAGTCTTCACCTCATAAATTGAGTAGCAGCCCATTACCAACAACTTGCCACCTCTAATTAATTGCCTTGATGCAAATACTTGCCTATAAATAGCCAAGCATAGCATTAGAAACACCAATTTTCATTGGTTTTTTTGGTTCATTTTTACTGCTGTCACGGGCATGGCTGAAAATTGAGAAGAAAAAGGCCAGAAACTGGGGTTGGGGTTGCAAACTGATTGTACTTGTGGCTCTCATTCAAATCCCGTGGCCCTAAAAGGGGCTTTTTAGTTTTGCTGCCCACGCTTGTTTGTCGTTTTCTAGTGAACTTTTTGTTTGTTTTTCACGAGGTCAATGTCATAATCGAGCTTCATTTTCAACTGAGATGATCACATTTGTTTTCCAAAGTCGGTAGCGCGTCAACATTTAATATCTGATTTAGTGATGTCTATGAGCTGTGGGTGGTTAGACAAAAAAAATTAACCCAGACTCCAGAGTCCACAACATTAACTTTTTCTTTATATATATATATATATATATATATCAAATCTATTGAAATGTATGTGGTAGTAATAAAAGGCATTTGCCAGAATGGCGAGTCTACCCACTGCAAACAAACTTAAAAGCTATTGTTGGATTAAATTTCTCGTTGGCCGGGCCACGTGAAGGAAAGCAAGCAGTGTTCCCATGGAAGAGGGTGACTACTGGCTTGGCTTATATATGCAAAAGGAGCTTCGGCCTTTGACTCCAACCATGCTTGTCGATCACATCATTTGCTACTCGCATGCATCTCCATACACCATGGTCAATAAACTTTGGGCCTTTACTGGTCTCAACATATGCCATCTTTTATTATTATTATTATTATTTATACATATACTATCCTCTTTATGAGTTTTAAGTAAATTTTGATTTTTGAGAGTACCCAATAATATATAAGTGCTTGATTTCTTTAATTCTAATTAAATAATTTGAGTTTATATCTTAATAACAAAATCGAAAGTCGGGTACTCAGCTTGTGGGATTTTCTCCCTCAACACTAGCCCTCCAATCACGGTTCGACTATGTATTCTTTAAGAGTGGGTATGGGTTCCACTTCCGCAAATTGCAGCATCTGCTAAGCAAGGATTGTTAGACTACACCATGCTACGAGGTATTATTCGATTTGAAGCTTATCTTATTGGTTTGTCTTTAGAGAAAAGACATCTAGTTAGGAAAAGGGTAAGCTTACTTATAAGGCATGACCCAATTCTTGGTTATTAAAAATATGAGATCTTTCTCCCTCACCATTAGCCCCCTAATTAAAGGTGGATTGTGCTTTTTCAAGGGCCAGTATGGATTTCTCCTAGGCGGAGCTATCTATTGATGTGAGGATCGTTGAACCATGCCTGGCCTTTGAGATATTGTATATGCTTCAAAACTTGCTCTCACGGTTTTGTCTTTCGAGAACAGGCATCTTGTAGGGGAAGCATTCATACATTACTTATAAGTCACGATCAAATCCATGACTATTAAAGATACAAAATCTTTTTTCTTAACACAAAACTAATAATTAAATACGTGTTTGAATCATTCAAAAATTAAAGTTTACATATATGCTACTCTCCACTTGAAAATCCAATTTTTTAATATCAACTTTAAACTTTGATATTATTGCTATAATTTGAAGAAAGAAGTTTTTAAAGGATTTAATGTTTTATTTACATGTATGATGCAGCGGCATTGTAAAGACACTAGAACGTGGTGAGGTTAGAAACTCCACTAAGGTGAACATCAATCTTGGTAAGGCTAGAAAACTCCACTAAAATAATGGTCAAAATCTCACTTTAATTAGCCAAACCAAAGATATTAGAATATGTTGCTCTTCTGAAAAGATATTAGAATATGTTACTCTTCTGAAAAGAGTATAGAGAAAATAAACGTTCATGTTTATTAAAGAAAATATTATTTATTAATTATTAATTTCAATATGTCTAATAATTAATCTAAGAGGGCTTTATATAATAATTTCTAAGGAAGAGAGCTTTCTTACTTTTCATATGTGGGATTATTACAATTCCTAAATAAAATAAATAAGTAAACTAACCTAAACTTCTTTGGAGCACAAGTAAAAGATAACTAAGGAAAGATAATTATAAAAATAATTATCCCTAACTTAATGCGCCAATAACCTAATAGCATGCTCCTATATCATTCTCCCTCTATTGGAGAAAAATTACCTCCAAGATCCATGTCGTCTTCGTCTTCTCCATAATAAGCAAAGAGATCAACTACGTTAAAGGTCAAAGAAACTTCATATTCTTTAGGAAGTTCAACCTTGTAAGCGTTCTTATTAATACGTTCTAAGACTTGAAATGATCAATCAACTCAAAAAGATAATTTGGCAGGAGACTTAGGAAAACATTCTTTCCTTAAGTGAATCCACATTGTCTCTTTCCTCAAAACTAATTGGCTTTTTGTGCTTGTCGGCTTATTTTTGGTATTTGGTAATTTAACAAATAATCTTCTCTTAGACTTCTTCATAAAGCTGCTTGATTTGCTTAACACATTCTTCAATATCAATACTAAATTCACTAATAGTTGGTAACGTAGGAAAGTCCAAAAGATTGAGAAGGCATTTTCCATAAACTACTTCGAATGGACATCTTCCAATGGTTTGACTCACAAAATTATTATAAGAGAATTCCATTTGTGCTAACACAAGATCCCGTTAATGAATGTGGTTACCCATAAAGCTTCACAATGAGTTTCTCAAACTTTTGTTTACCACTTCTGTTTGACCATCCGTTTAAAGGTGACTTGCTGAACTAAATTGCAAGTGAGTCCACATTTTTTGCTATAGGGTTCGCCAAAAATGACTCATGAACTTCACACTTCAATATGAAGTGATGGTTTTTGAAATTCCATAAAGACGTACAATTTCTTTGAAATACAAATCAACTATGTGAAAAGCACCATCAGTTTTATGGCATGACACAAAATAAGCCATTTTAGGAGATTTGTCAACGACCACCATTATAGAGTCCTTTTGCTTTTGGGTTCTTGGTAAACCCAAAACAAAATCCATACTCACATCTACATAAGGAGCTTCAAGAATTGATAATGGTTTATATGTACCAGTGTTTTGATTTTCAAACTTGGTAGTGTGGCAAGTACGATAGCTTTGAATATGTCGAATGACATCTCGTTCTAGCTTGGGCTAATAAATTTTTTTTGTCACAAGAGCTAATGTTTCATCTTTCCCAAAATGTCCAACTAATCCTCCATTATAAGCTTCCCAAATAATATATTAGTATAAAGAACATTAAAGGATGCACAGTTGGTTACCTTTGAAAATATACCCTTCTTTTTCATGAAACTATCAATAAGGATGTTGAGAACTAGACTTTTGTATCTCACCAAATTTAGGATTTTTTTCCAAAAATTTTTTGACTTGATGTTTTAACTCTTTATGCTTTTGTAGACTTATGCGATAAGAAGGCTTGTTTGGAATTACAGAATTAAGGATGAAATTGATGGCATGTTGAACATCTCGCATTGGTGGCAATCTACGCGGTACCTCATCAGTACAATATCATAGAACTCCTCAATTATGGGCTTAACATCCTTAGATAAGGATGAATAGACTTCATTCTCCTTACAAACTAAAAAGAGGTATAAGAAGCTTGAATCATGATAAGCTTTGTTTAAGCTAGATAATGATGAGTACTTTATCTTCTTCGCCTTTTTGCGTGGTTTTTGGCTTTAGTGGAGTTAACATAATTTCACTCCATCTTTCATGAAGGAATAAGCATTTTTGTATCTATTATGATGAGTTCGATGATCATATTTTCATAGGCATCCCAACAACAGATGGCATGTGTCCATTAGGATAACAGCACATTGGACTTCATCTTGATACTTATCTCCAATAGAGAATTAAACATAACAACGCTTTATGGCTTTAATTTCATTTCCTTTTCTCAACCATTGTAGCTCGTAAGGAAGAGGAAGTGCTTCAGTTGGAAGTTTCAACTTTTCCACCATGTAGTTGATAATAACATTCTCACAACTTTCACTATCAATAATGACATTTCAAACCTTTCCTTGGAATGTGCACTTTGTATAGAAGATGTTGTGGCAAAGTTAACTTTCATCCTCAGTCATCATACTAATGTTGAGGGTTATGGCAAACACTCCATATTCAGGAGCAACTTCTTCTGTCTCATCCTTGTTGAATATTGCTAGCTCATCCTCTACTTCTTCCATGATAAGTTCTTCTTTAACTTCTTATTCTATTAAGAAAATAATTTTTCGATTTGAACAATCAAAATTAATATGTCCAAATCCTTGGCATTTGAAGCACTTCTTGTTGACATTAAAAGCATGAGTAGAAGCAATTTCCTTATCAATATTGTTTGCAATTTTAAAAGAGTTTACCTTTGAAGGTAGAATGGTTAACAAACTTTTTCTCTTACAGTTTGAAGTAGAATCTTTTTGTCTTGGTGAACTTACTGAGCTTTTCCATGATTGTTATTTCTCACCTTTAACATTAATTTGATGACATCATTTAAGTTCTAATATAGTTATAGTTGAACAACATTCGTAATTTCAATATTGAAACCTTCAAGATAACGAGCTACAGTTTGCTCATCAAGTTCATGGGCATCACATTTCTGTCGTAACGTGCCGGAGTCCGAGAACCCGACCGCTCGACGTGAATGTAATTTTGGAGTCGCCACCAATCTTTTTTAAACCTAGATGTGATTGGCCACCTAATAATTTTGTTTTCTTCGACGAAATCTTAAATTGATTGTTAAGTCCGTTTAAAAAACAATGACTGGTTCACTTATCTTGTTAGAGTTGGATTTGGGAGTACAGTTACGCATAAGAAAGGATTAGCACCCCTATGACACCCGTTTCACGAACGGTACCATTTAATCATATATTATCCTAACCCATTAATTTTATTCTTATGTTTCCTTAATTTGATTCATTTATTTCACATTTTATTCTATTAACAAATAAAAAAAAATTATTTGGTTTTTTTTCTCGTGTTTGGATGTACACGTGATGCAATTGTG